CTTTCACCCGGGGAAACTTGCGGTGACGCACGTCACCTTTACGTTCACATATCGTATAAAGAAAATAAAATCTACGATTCACATTTGTTTCATCCTTTTCCTTTCCGTGTCTACTTTCGTTCACTCGTGTGAATTTGAGATGCGTAGTTTCGACTGAATCCCGCAATCGAGGCCGCGCGCATACAGCACACATACAGCAAAGACGTAATAAATATACATCCAACGGAGATCATTTGTTTTCGTGGATCGCCTTATAGCACAAGAATACTAGCATCGCCGAAGATGCTACCATCCGTCTTGTCGCTCGTTTTTCATCGGCTAGTACCGACCTTGTTGATGCTTCCGCGATCCTTTCGTCGAGATGAGACGACGTTTGGGAGTTTCTCATACTTTGTGCTCGAAGTCCGACGTGAATCCAATTACGAAAACCGGAGGAATTCGTATAAGTTGGAGCAACGTTTGACTGCAGCCGAAAGAGACTTATATACACGTATAAAGACTTCTCGTGTAGAAAGAACTGTCTCTACGTAATTATCTATGAGCGAGAAACTTTAAACAAAGAATTTGCAGTACGATATTATCGTTCACGTACATATTCTGTTTTATGATGTAAAGATGTAAAAGGCTTCAAATGTTAAAAACTAAATTCGAAAAGGAGAAAGGATCAATATGAGCCGTAGATACGGATGATGCGTAATAGACAAATTACTTTATTTTTAACGCTTTGATCTAGAATTGGATCATGTTCAGAAAAAGTTGACACTTTCCTGTACAGTATCAAAAACGAGATTATACGGTATTGTTAATACAAATTGAAGTGATTAAACAAATAGATAAATAAAAAAATCTTACGTAAACTAAATTTATAATTTAGTTAAAAAATTTCCAAAACGTTACTACAATAAACACCAGTCACGGATTATTCTTCAAGTTTTTGCAAGTCTAAATTGTGAAACAAATAAAGTTTTTAGAGACACGTAACTAAAATAAAGTCATGCGATTTTAGTCACGTGTTGTTTTTCCACTTCTCTCTCTTTCTATTTTTCGAAAGATTCTATGGCAATTACGGGACACTTTGTATATATATGTATATATATGTATGTATATGTTTGCTACAAACGATCGTTTTGCTCTACTAGATATATTTTAACGTAGGTATTAATTTTTATGCGATATAATTATTTTATAAAAAAAGCGTTTGTGTCCGTGTGTGTGTTTTCAAGATATCTCTTCTTACTGTATGCAGCAAGACATCACGTCGAGAAACTTGCGCGAGCTTACTCCTAAATTATGGATCACAAAGGGCATTGTCACGAAAGTTGTAATTACTCCCGTAAGTAATAGAAGGATATGACCTATCAGTTAAACCAAAAACCAATATCACGGGGTCAACAGTGCATTAGAATGACAAGTTAGTAGTCCCTCTCGCGAGTGACAAGTTTTATCCCATAACAAAAGATATTCGCACAGACAGGTAATACCATACGCCAACTCTAGCAAGATGACACGCTTTCCATGAAACTTAGCATGTAATCCGCTCGATAACTTTCGCGACCGATGCGCGAGATTATAAGTCCAACATAGTTCCGTGAGCTCTTTCCCTCTTCCCTTCGCCCTCTGTCCTTCCTTTATCATTATCTCGCAACATTATGTGTGCACACATTCAAGTATTTACGTGATACTTCATTTCTTTCTCTCTCTCTCTCTCTCTCTCTCTCTCTCTCTCTCTTTCTCTCTCTCTCTCTCTCTCTCTCTATTTCTCTCTCTCTCTCTCTCTCTCTCACTCACTCACTCTCTCTCTCTCCCTCTCTATTTCTCTTGTGCAACTTGTGCCATTAAAATTAGTCTACTGTAATTGGATTGCTACTTCCATGAAATGGATTTTCAACGTACACCGATTTCGCGAACACAAAAGAAGACGTTGTAATGTTTGTACAATTTAATTATATCTTACAAAATATCTGAACCCTTCGCGAACAGACATGGGTGTCCTAGACCCGCTCAAAAATTTCAAACCGGTGTCTCCAAAAAAACCAATTAATTTTTTTTTTAACGCTTACATCTTCGAAACTACTAGAGATTTTTTCAATTTGTTTTTTTGATTGACGCAGAATCGTTCAAAACTTTCGATTAAAACAAAACAAACTTTTGAAAAAATATTGATTTTTCGCGGAGATATTCGATTTTAAAGTCGCGTGGGTCTCACAAACCCACCAGTCTGTTTGCAATTTAGTGAGTCGTTTTTGGAGTCTGTCTGCGAAGAGTTAGAGTTATCTGCGAAGTATAAAAAATTTCTGAGTCGTAATTTATACCTTCTCTATTACAGTTTTGAGAAAATTTTTGCAAAATTTTGAGATCAAACTATTCAAACTTTAATTGACAAAAACTACAATTCAAGTTTAAGCGATTATCAAGTCCGCCGTATCTCTATTATGACCGACATACGACAAAAAAAGTAATGTATAATGCAACTTAATTTGTAATTCCGCGATATGACAAACAGGTCACACACGCATAGTGCGGATCCACTTCTCGCTTATACGCACATTCCTCATACTCCATATCTGGCTTCGTTATATGCAAGCCAGAAGTTTGACGCAATAACTGTTTCCGCCTGATGTGTCTCATTAACATTGAACAACATATTAAACCGAGACACATTGAACAACACATTACTACGGGAAGAGAAAGATCCAACCACATATGTTTAGTTTATAGAAATTGCTATGTGTGTTCATGCAATCGAAATGTCTCTTGACTCTTCTATTTATTTTGGAGTTATTAGTGTGTCACGAAAAAAAACCACAAATATAAAACTACAAATATTTGATTAAATACACATATAAAAAAAAATCATAAATAAAACCATTAAAACAACTATAAATATTCGATTGAATACATATTTTTTTACGAAAACAATTTTACGTGACGAGAAAAACTGAGAAAAAGATGAGTTAGTAAAGAGACGGAAGTCGGAAAAAAACTTCTTTCTCGCAACACACAGTCACTCGTTATTACGTGTAACGCGTATTACGTGAAGTCGTTATGCATATTATTTTTTATAATTCTTGTGATGTTGATTACGTAACTTGACCAAACGCGCGCGAAACGAGGTAATGAGATTCAGCTATTAACTCTCGTAACGATATATGATAGCGAATGCTCCATTTCCATTCAAATGCAGAGGTATCTCGACGTTAAAGTATCATGTAGTTACGCCGGTTAAAATATTGACCGTAACTATTTAAATCATGTTTGCGCGCGCTACCATGTGTGTACATTTCATATACGACTTTAAATATTACATATTATTGGAAATAATATATCAGAGGAAAATAGTAACTGAACATTTGAGAGATTGTTAGACTTGAAATAAGCACTCAAACAATAATATTTATAAGATAATTTCATATTTTTTTAATAAAAATATACCGCGCTTGTGCGCGCACTCTTGCCTGATTATTTCCATTATTTGTTCTTAGACATCAAAAAAAAGGTAAATCCGATAAAAAAAATTCGCGAATATTTTCACGGGAATGTTTTTCGGGATAATTTTTCATCTTTATTGCATTTTTTTGTCAGCTTTCGGACTTTTCGGCACAGCATTGCGCATTGCGTAGGATCTTTCGCACATAATATTTATTGCGCGTGTCCAACACAAACGAAGACTCAGATCCTCCGATATACCGTAATTTATTGCTAAAATAAAGTCGATTTATACACCGTTTATCTGCACGCTTTGTATTTGGCAAGTTGTGATTGCCTAATATATTTTAATGTATTTTATTTTCAATTGTTATTTTATTCTCTTTACGGCAAAAAATAATATACCTATCTAAAAATAATCGTTTCCCGACACGGATAAACTTTTAGGAACAAAGAGCTTAACTGACACTGATGATAAAACGCATATTCCTTCCAAAGTACACACACAATACCTTTTCTCACATACGGCCACTATAAAAGCCCGGAATTGCACATGCATGAGGATTCTGAAATGCTCGACTGGAGCAGCAAGCGACTCTTTAAAGAGTCTAATCGGTTCAACATTGAAAAATCCAAGAGCCGCTATAAAGCTACACAGGACGGATGTACATCTTTTTACTGGCTCTCAGCGAAACAGCCAGCGCAAGCTCCTACAGAAAGTAAATATCCGATCGGTCAAGCTAATACCGATACGAAATTGTAGTCTATCGGAAATCGACGATGTAGCTATTTGATGTAATTTACCAATTGCAGCAAAACTCGCGGAAAATAATTCCGGAGCTCTCTCGTTTAAAAAAAAACGCGAGAGAGCAGATCTACAATATCAACTTTTCACGATTCTCATTTCTCGTCTTTGCGGTAAATGTATATTTTTGTAGTTTTCAATTCTTTTATTTTCGAAACGCTTCAACCGACGTGTGTTGTTACGGCACACATTGTACGTAAGAAAAAAATCTAATTACTGTAAATCTAATTACTGTATCTCACCGCCCACATCGTGAAATTTTCACACGATGTTTGAACTTTGCGAGCGGAGTGTATGAAAGTCTGACTAACTTTTATACGAATCGTTCTTACGACTTGGTTACTCGGTTTCGACACGTAGTAGCTTTTGGAACGAGTAATTAAACCGAAAGTTTCTTATGCGAACTCCAAATCTCTTTATGCGATATCTATTAAGTTAAAGAGAGCAGATTGTTCGGCGCGATAAGATAAAATCGTAACCGCATAATCACGACAGTACATAAATTTTGTTATGCACTTCCGCGACAATTTTTTTTCCTCTATTCTCTCTCTCTCTCTCTCTCTCTCTCTTTTTTTCTCTCTTTTTTTTCACGTAATTATTAGGACTTAAATTCACATATAAAACTACAAAAAACATTTGCAGACATAAAAGGGACAACGGCGACAAGTAAAATAATTTGACGGTAACATTTTGCGGTGACATTTCACTTTGACGTATATTTATGTCGAGAGTAAAAATACATGTCGTGTCATGGTATATATAAACGCACCTTGCAGTTGAGTGATATTTCTGGTGACTTTGTGGCCGTTAACGAGCTGCTCGCGCAGGTGAAATCTGTCGCGATGTCGCTGATAATTGGCGATAACAATCGTGATCGCTGCTAATACGAGGAAAATCCTCGATTCCCACACTTTCATTGCACATCGAATCTCGCATCCCCCGTGGTTTTTGCAGATGCGGTCGGGATTATCGAAGAGAAACTACTGATGTAATTCACGCGGTTCTTGAATTTCCTTCCCTCTCTCTTCGATCCTGAAATTCACAAACATCACTGAAGACCACACGCATCCGCGTGTGTGGAATATTTCAATTGCCATGTCAAAGACGCCAAAATTATTTGATAAGTGAACGGTTTTTGGTTACAGATAGAACAATGCGTAACAAGTTCGTGAAAAACAGATGAATGAAATCGACTGTGCTTCGATACAAAAAAATCAATAACCAGAAAAAAGGGATCTTTTCAGGAACGCACAGTGCGTCACTGTCCTTTCAATTTGTTTTGCACTTATACAATGGATTTGTTCACGCGCACAGCGTCGAGTACACGCGTATTCGTCGTCGTGATTCGTGCGAGAAATTTGTGAATAGAGTGTAGGGAAAATTTACCGCGCATGTCAAATCAAACAAAGTTTCACTCCGCATTATGTATTTGCAAGTTTCTCGCACGAATCACACAATCGCGAATACGCGCGACATACACTCCGACGAATAAAGAAGTCATTTGTTCACAAGCTACATGTAATTTGAAGTTATTAGAAGTTGTTTGCTCACAAGCTATGTTTATATTAGTGTAATTAAATTACACACATGTGTCTCAAATACAAAACGTTTTATTTTTTTATATTTTTTTTTTAGATATTTCTACCGCGATATTTCTACCCCACGATGAATTATATTGTATTTATTTCAATTTTTTTTTTTTTTTTTTAATTTTAGAATGTAGCAATGTCTATTAGAACTTGAATCGACTGTGCAGTTATTTGCAGTTGCTGCCGCAGTGCGTATGTTGTGCTATAGTGCTTTTGCTCGCATGTGTGCACGTGTGTGTGAGTGTGTGTGTGTATCCCGTCGAGTGGCGCGCGAAAACAAACGAAAATGGAAGTTACTGTGGACAACGTGGAAGAAAAATGCGATATCTGAAACAAGTTAGAAGTTAGATGTGTTGCGGCGGAGAAATTTAGTATCTTTTATTATTTTATGACACACGTGTCTCACATACGAAACTCGCGCGCGCGCACGCGCTTACACATGTTTTTTCTTCTATTTGAAAGCCGTGTATTCAAAGAATTTTCTTGCCGATTGAGCCCAAGGCGGAAGAGGGTTGTATTTTATTTCAGCATAATAATTTGCATGCCGCTATTGTACGATAAAACACACTCGTGAAGCGAGTTTCCCGGAGAATACCGTCGAGAGGTGAGCGAAGAGTAAGTACGTTATTACATTAAAAGAGGAGGTAGTAAATACGTTTTATCAAAATACATAGCTGCGTAGTTTAATAAAAATAAAAATAAAAATAAATAAATAAATAAACAAACTGAGATAACATCAACTTAATTTCTTTGTCGAGATAATATTGATGAAGAAAATGCCAAAGAATCTGATGACGACTGCCGTCAATGTTCGAACGCAAGTCTGTCAGTAATGTATCCAAGTTCTGGAACAAGAAGGCAAGAGAATAGCCTCCTTTCTGCGGAACTTCGGATATATTGCGCTCGAAGGCGTCCGCGTGTCTAATAGAATCGATGTTATGAAGTTGGTCGGCTCGTTCGATTTCTTCGACAGAATATTGGCATATTTCTTCGCTGCGCGAAGATGCGGGAGCAATTTTGAACGGTGGACAAAGATGAGAGGCCGCGAAAATAGAAGAAAACAGAAAGAAATATAGATTAGAGCGGGCGAGAGCGAGGTAATACGGTCGGAGGAGAGGGTTGGCCCAACTACTAGCTGGGCGGGCGCGGAACTTTTACAGTTTTCCCAACGAGATTCAGTCGTGGCTGCCAATTTGCGGTCGCGTAGAGCAGAAACTACGATTTCGCCGAGAGAAAGAACACGTAGACGAGAAGTGTTCTTATACGATTTTTATCTTGAGACACGCGTAGTTCCGATCTTGACGGCGGTTGAATTGTTGCGTTCGAATCCCCGGATTAAGTAGATTTGCAATGCAAACGTTAACATTGTATATTGAACGGATGTCCGCGGGACAATTTTCAGCGAGTTTTAAACCACTGCTGCGCGCATTTCCGTTACACACATGTAAATAATGATAAATAAATATTTACGCTCGTTTTTTAATGACTACTTGAAGTGTTTCACGAATCGAAAATATTTCACGTCGATAATTCGGGGATATTAGTTTTTTTTTCGATAATAACAATTGAAAAATGAAGCAATACGTAGTTTCATTATGTATGTATACGGTAACATTTTTTTATATGAGATATAAAATTATATTCAAGATATTTTCTTACAACACGCGTTCTGTAATACGCAGTGCGAATTTCACGATAAAAAATTTACACTCTTGAGTTTTTCCACGATTTTTGTTATTGCACACGTTTTAATATATCTTCCTCCGATGTAATTAGAGGAAAAAAAACGAAAGAATTGAAATTATTTACGACTACGTGTGTGCGTGTGCATTCGTGAAGTAATTTTCACGCATAACGCAACGGGAGAGTGAGTAAAAGCAACATGGTACGCCACGAGAATAGACATTACGGCACACAAGCGACTCTCCCGGAGATTTTCTTCTTCGAAAAAACGATACTGCGCTCTCTTCGGTTTTAGAACCGGCACCGGAATCCGTTTACAACGTTCCAGGAAAGTCGTTTCACGCCGATATTTGTGACACGACAAATCACATATCTTTTACGGTTGAAATTGCAACCGGAAGAAACTAGGTGGGTTGCTCGTGCGCGTTCTCTCCGCTTATTAGCGCCGTGAATATAAAATTCATTTAAAATGTCTTGGCGCAATTTCGAAAACTTGGCGCGTGAGATCGTCGGCGCGAAGATCAGCGGCGAAGATGACAACAACGGCGCGCGCGACGAAGAAGTTTCTAAACAATTTCGAAATAATATCAAATCTCCGCGGTACGAAATTAAGAGAAGATGACGGACAAAAAGTTCTCCCGGCGTTTCTGCATGTAGGTCAACTTGCACGTTAACTTCGCTTCGGTTAAAGTAACGAGTGACTCCGGAGAACGAAACTTTTTTTTCTGCCCCCCCCTCCCCCCTCCCGTCCCTCTAAAGTTGGTCATTGTTTCCTTCTTCGCAATAATCTCTTAATGCAAACAATGTGTCATGAAATATAAATCGGCGGTTCGCGAAAATGTCAAAGAGATCCATTGTTCCCTTCATTTTTCGGCACTCATGTTATATTCACTATTTCGAGACTTGCTTCGGGGGATATTTCAAGTTCCGAGAGAGAGAGAGAGAGTTCTTCAACTAGAGCGAACGCAAACGAACGAACGAACGAACCGTCGTCGGCAGGGAACTCCGTCGACTGCCGCGATCTCGCGGGAGTTCAGCAGCTACTCGCAGCACGTCTCGGAGAATCGATCGATCTTGTTCGACGCTCGTGATGTTACAATAGGTTACCGATACCGCGGAGAAGAAGAAACACACCGGGCGACCACGCGTGAAACTCACAGGGACACGTGCAAGTTGTATAATTTTAAAGCTTTGTTCGAGAGCGAAGTCCCAATCCGCGCATGTCTGTTTTATTTACACGGGATCGAGACGTTGTTCGTTTGGGATACACACGTTCGGTTTGATACGTTTTTATTATTACGCGCAACTATTTCCCAATGTAATCATAATTTCGTGAGTTATATATACATTAGTGGGACAGTTTACAAAAGAAGCTTGTTTAACAGCGACACCGTCAACACGTGTCAACTTCTCGGAAAAGGGGAAAGGAGAGAAAAAAAATATCGTCGTGAGCGACATGCTTGACGTTGTTGCAACAGGAAAGAATGAAGTGGAAGGCCGCCGAACAGCGCGCGAATGTTGCGATCGATGATGGGGGATACACGGAAGAGAGGGTCAATGACGGAAGAGAGAAACGAGAAGAACGAAAGGGGATATGGTACTGTCGGATCATATGTTATTCCACTTGCGCAACTGACAACTAATTGCTATATATTTTTTTAATGGCGATAGAGCGCGAATTCTCGTATTCTGTACGTGGCCGAACAAAAGAGACCATTTATCAGCCGAGCGTTTTATTATGAATCTTCTTTTTTTCTTTTTTTTTTTTTTTTTTTTTTTTTGAAAGACGAGGAAAATAAAAATCTGTCAGAGAATTTGTCGTTACGCGACGATAATCTGACGTGAACTATCCGAGATGTATATTTCGCGCGCTAGTTTTTAGGCGCGTAATTGCAAAAAAAAAAAAAAAACAACTCTGACTTTTGGAAAAGTATCGCGTCTAGCGAATTACGCGCAACCGTCGTCGCGAAGACAAGTTTTTCTCGCGTTTTCGAAACGAGATGTCTTACATCCGCCAACTTGTTAAAAAAAAAACTTGTTAAAGTCTTCGTGAACACTTCATTGACGAAATTCAAAACCGCTTGATAGAAAATTTAATTGGTAAAATCGTACGACGAGCGCGAAGCGAACGGCGAAAACGTTAAATGCGAAGGAGTTGAGACTCCTCGCCCTCGAACTATCTTTTTACAATCGTCGTGACTGTGTTTACTTTCCGATGAGTGCGAATCTTGCTCCTCCCCCTCCCCCCTCCCCCCGAACAGGAAAAGAAGAATAATTCAATCTCCGCTCTTTTATACAGCGTGGAAAAAGAAACTTCCGCCTTGTGAAAGCTGCGGAGATTTTCTGCGCTAGAATTGCGGAGTACGCAAACTATATATACATAGAGCAATCAATTTACGGGAGGATGGTGAAAATGCCCCCGGAGTATTCTTCGTCATACCCTTCATGAGTTCTCGCGACAATGCGAATCTTTTGAATTATACTTGCTCGCTTTTTTCGATATCGAGACGCTCGCGCGCGACATCACGGGGGTTGTTCACCTCCGCGATTCCAAGCCGCGGAACAAGCTAATCGTATATATATATCTATCTATATGTCGGAGTGTTTGGAGCAGATTAGCTGGGATCGCTATCAATCACGAACTGATTGGAGCGTAACTCGGGTTTATCGTACGCGTCCGATTTACGACGTACGCAAATTGTCGTAAAATCATTTTCCCGTGTGTACGTTTGTAATTACGTTATTATTTATAGAGATAATGCAAGATCTCCGCGCATGTGTGATAGCATCGGGGATATCGTTCGAATTCGTTCGTGCGCATCCGTCGCACAATGAGCGCTCTCTCAGGAGAGAGCATCATGAGAGACTGAGGTTTTTAATTAAAGTCATGTTCTTCTCCGGCGCACACAGAAGTTAGTCGGATTAACGAATTTATCGGCGATCCTGTATTACGGGTAATCCACGGCGGACTCGTAAGTCTTTGTGCTAATGACATAATCTGTGGTATTAATAGATTCTTGGTTCGGTAAGTGCAGTTTCCCAATTCGGTTTTTCAAAGCTAATGTTTTACATGATATTTTAACGATATAAAAATACGTTTGTCACGGCACGCATAAAAACAAACTCAACAATTGTTGATTTGTGTGACGTTATACATGTTTTTGCGATATTTTTTGCCCGTGTGTGTGTGTGTGTGTATAGTGCGTGTTTACAAGCCGAATTGTCTGATCGATGTATTTCCCCGCGCGAGATACATTTAAACGTAACCCGCACGTAGATCGGACATGAAAATCCAGCGCGCGAGGGTAAACGGAAGAACAATGGGTTAGATATACTGCGATGAAGACGTATGCACGGAGCGGTGAAAGAAGAGTAAGAAAAACAAGGAGAGAGTGAGAAATCTCGCAGACGTCTCTTGTTCACGTGCAATCGAATCGCCGAAATGGTCTTTTTCTCGGTCAGCTTTTGTTCGAACGTAGTTTATCAGCGAATACTTTAAAAGGTCGATCCGGGTCAACTCATTGCCATTTAAAGCAAGATAAATTAGAGGCGGTTCTCTGTATCCAGAGAGCGACTCACTCGACAGTGTCAGGTACATACCAGATATTTAGCAAGAACATTCTCTCTCTCTCTCTCTCTCTCTCTCGTAAAACATTGAATTTATCGTGAAGATTATTAAAAGCCCTACTACACGCAAGATTTACTTTTCTAGAATAAAAATATATCTTTGTGTTTATTTTTGACTTTAGTTTCATAAAACAATATTACACGTAAAATTTGGGAAACTGTGTCACATAAAATCCGCTTATTAAATAACATCCTATACATATTAACGCGCTCAAATATTATATTCTCATGCTCATGAGCTGAAATTGAAGCATCGTGTCCTAATCCAAGTGACTAACAATGCAACTTTGTCGACGAGACTACGTCAACTTCACTACAAGAACTTTCCCTTCCTCTAAGCGCATTAATGTAGATTAGTTCGGAGATGCTCCGACATCCTTGAAGCTATTTGAAAACAGATATTTATAGCTAATAATTCAGAGGTGATAAAAAAAAAATAGAGAACAGAAATATTTGAATTGACAACCAAAAAAAAAAAAAAAAACTATTTTTATAAAGAAGATAAAAATTTAAAGAAGCTAAAAAGATTATATATAACGAAAAAACAAATATATATTTAATAAATATTATAATATTATATAAATATTATAATATTATAAATAGAACGTGAGTGTGATATTGTGTGCGGTGCAGTTTTCGTTCCGGTATAATCGAGTACGATGCGGAGTTCAACAAAAACAGCTTTTCATTCAGATTTACAGCGGTCTAGAACACTTCGCGATCTTCAAAAGACAAATTCCTTTCTGGCGACGTTTCCGGTTTATATAATTATCCAAAGCTATGTACAAGTTGATGAATTCTAATTACGACGCGACGTCGCCGTGTGTTGTTCTCATCCCGTCGTCGTTCAATGTGGATTATATACGTAGGCGCACGAACACCCATGATGGAAACTGAACGCCTGGCTTGCGATCTCCGTCCCTTGTACCGAATCATTTACATAGGAAGACGGATAGGAACGGATCACTGATCGTGTCAACCATTATTCGTTGTGACACATGAAATCGATTAATAGGAAGCCGCAATGTTCGTTATCGGCAGATATGCATCATTCATTGAGATGGTGTGTAGATTTTTTTTTTTTTTTCAAAAGCGCGAATTTAGATGACTTTTTATATTGAGTTGTCTCAAAAAACAAAAAAGATGACATGTACACTAAATTGTTTCGCGCATGCTTTATCCGACATCGTTACGGAAAAAACGTCACCGCACCGAGTATACGATATTTTCAGAGAATACGGTTAACAATAACAAAATATACACTGTACATAGTTTTGATTTTAATGATAAATTTTGTCAATTTATTTGTATATAAAGCTGTTAGAAATTCCGTGACATCGCGGAAACTATCCGCCAACTGGCAACTGGTGGCAATAAGTAAAATCTTAAAAAACACAACACACTGTTTACCCTACAATTAGCAAATGGAAATTTATTAGAATTATATATATCTATTATATATCATACTTAAGTTTTTTTTATTTTACATTTTAAATACGAATTTACTTTAATGAATGTAACAAAGAGCCTGCAATTTATTGCCGTGAATAAGCGCGTTCTAATATTAAAAACTAATTTGACTTTAAATTGAATTTTATTTATAAAATTTAATTTATTTTTTTTACAGAAAATTTTTATACTGAAATAATGTATTGCACACACCAACCGACTTATTTTGTTTTATTTTTTTCTGAGTTTAAGTTTGTCAACTTGATTAATATAAAAATAATCCAATAAATATAAAATTACTAAATGTGTGTCAAAGAGTCTATTCAATGAAGTTGATTTTATTTATTTTAATTTTTTTCTTTTTATAACATATTATCTGTGTCGCGTGCAAACCTCATAAAAGTTAAAGAATTCCGTAGAAATGTGTGGATATGTATGCGTGTTTATCTACTGAATGAATTATTGTTATCACTCACCGGTAAAATTTAATTGTAATATTATAATAAGTCTTGCAAGAATAACAAAACCGAAGTTTGTGGCACAAAGCTGATAATAACTCCTCTGGTTGATACAGCACGGGCGGCTGGCGACTGACTGCTGTAGAGTTTGAAAGCTTGCAATTCTCAGAGCGACCTCTACGACTACCACGTGCTTGCAGTGAACATGCACAGGCGCTCTCGCAATACGCCTATGTACTTCGACCTAAAAAAAAAAAAGCACTAGGCTCTCAAAATTGTAATCGATACAACTTGCTCATTAAAGTTCATTATGGATAAACGTAGAAAAACATTCCTAAGACATCATAGAAATGTGTAACAAAAACAGACCGAATTGTTTCACCCTAAAAGAGTTACGCAAAACTGCATATAATCGATAGAGTAAAATTTTAAACGAGTTTTTTCTGAAATTGAGATTTTCAAAACTCGTGGCCACCATATCTCGAAACAATCGGTTTGACCGGGATTTGTAGTTTTACACATTGTATCTAGACACAAAAAAAAAACTAGTCCTTGACGTGGGATTTTTTTGGTCCGATGCGTAGTGTTTTGTTCAAAGCCAACAAGCAAACGAAGATTTTTAGTGAAAAATATTGCTATATTGACTTGAATCGTTTTAGTCAGACGCGACAGTTTGAAAAACAGTTCAAGTCAAAAATTATATTTGTATTCCAACTTTACAAAGCTTGTCTCTCATCTTGCTTTTGGATGAGTCACTTAGAAGAATAGCGGTGGTTACTGCAAATATCGTTTTCAAAAACATTAATTTACAAAATATTTCATAAACCGTCGCAGTTTCGTAATTTTTGTTCTTAATAAAATTTAAATTTCAAATAGAGAAAATTACGATCTTGAAAATAAAACAAACATGACTTCAATATCTTTTATCGTTTTTACGAAAAACATTTGCAAGAAGGCTTGTTTTTAATCCGTCTATAGTTGTAAGTTCCTCTTTAAATCATAAGCAGTTGAGAATCGTGATATTTTTCTTCGTTCTTGAAAAGACATTATCTTTTCACCGTATGTATTACAACCATTATGATTGTTACAATCTCTCTTGCAAATATAATGTAGCAGCAAAATAAACAGTTTTTACAGACATTTATTCAGCAAAGGTTTCTATAATAATGACAAAAACTTTTCTCGTAAACCTAAATTTTTATAACAAATTATAAAACTCGCGAAATATTCAACTAAGGTTAAATTAAATTTGAAAATCCACATAGGATGCTTGATTTCATCTTATATATGTAAAATATTTTCTAAAATTCTCCTATAAAAATTAAGAATTTCATTGTAAAAAAGACATCTTGGCCAGAAGTCGAACTTGGATCTCCTGCATTCCGTGCAGACGCTTTTTAAATTTTTATCCCATTTAACGTTACAGCAACACAGATTATTAAAAAATCTGTTTTTTATTTGTTTCTACATTGATCAATATAATATTTGTATTTTGATCATATTACATAGTTTGTGATCATATCTACAAATTAAAACTCAAGCAAACAACACAAAGTATTATTGTACATATAATACTATTTTGCTAAAAAATTATAACAAATAAATCGTTCTCTACAAAATCTTTTTTGTAAAAGAAGTGATGTAATAAAACAATGGCGCCAACTGAAGAAATCATACGTATGTTGTACACACGTTATACAATAATAGTAATACATCTATCGAGGGATGTGAAATAGATTTCACTTTGCGTGTAAAGTCTTAAACCTATATAAAACTTTCGCTTTGTGCGCAAAGTCAAAAACCCATAAAAACTGTTGTGTGTTTTCAAGGTAAAAAATATTTAATGCAAAAATACTTGGCACAGCTGCACCAAGAAGTTTGTATCTCCATCTAGTAGACGACACGTGAAAAATACATTTTTCCACCCTTCGGCCTGTCTAGTCCAGACGACGAAAAATCTTATAATCGTTTTCCCGTATATTTCAGATATGCATTGAAATAGCTTCGTTTTCAGAGAAGAAAAACTTAAAAATACTTTTTTATTCATTTTTTAAACTCAAGTCGATTGAGACCAAAAGGAAGTCGATCGGTTCAGCAATTGTGCTGAGATATGAAAAATCTTAACTTCGTTGAACTGTCCGACTCGTGAAAATAAGTCATTGATCATAATCCGGTCTCGCAAACTTGACACGAAACATTACTCAATGTCTCATGATAAAAAATAATTAAGTATTTACGTTAAGTATTTATGTTAAGATAAGATAATTCTCTTCCACTTCTACTTTTCCATGATTGTTGTATATATATATATTTGTTGACCAATTGTTATGCGTTCAATCGGCGATGGTATATTTACGTCAGGTTTAGATTTGTACATAAGATTCTATTCTAGTGGCTTGTACGACTCGTAGTTTTTCTGTGCTACTTCATGTGTATTAGATCTACGAAACTTCTTGTAATACGCGATATCTAGTAAAATATTTATAGATAGAGAGTTTTCAAGGACAAAGAACTGTCGAATAAAAGGAAATATGTGTGAGTGTAAGCTAATTTTTTTCAAATAATAATTTTATATACAATTCAATAAAAAATATTATCTTCTTTTGTGAACATCGATTTTCTAATAACTATTTTTGAACATTGATTGTATATAATATTATAAACATAACTTAATTTAACATGAATTTATAATATTATTGTGTTTTCTTTGTGCCGGTTGCCTCAAATTGTTACATATTTTTTATTATTAATACAAGTTATAATAAATTGATATTAGACACGTATATATTTTTTAGCTATAGAGATGCAAGTTTAAAAGGTAAAACTGCTTCCCGTTTCTTTTCTGTTATCTCTCGACAGCTGTTGAAAATACAAAAGACTTCTTAAACAAAGCGTCTGCAGCTTCTGTATAAAATACAATGGTCCACATATCGGTAAAAAAACGTTTTAAACAATCAAAATAACATACTGGGCTTAATTTTTATCTATTAATTTTGATTACTCCGTATGTATGTGACGTTTCCAAATTTGAGATTCGATGAAGCTTAAGACACACATAATTCATCATCTTGCAGATGATTCTTGTTAGCGCAACAATCACGTTTTGTAAGAAACATTTTTTTCACAATGTCATTATTTACAATTCACACGCTCATTGCCTTTGAAAATAATTGTGGATTGTAATTTTCACACTTTCTGCGAAGATATTGTATGACATTCTATAATTACACATAACAATAGAATACTGATAATCACGAAAATCTGGTGATAATATTACTATACACATCTAACGATGTCTGTCGCAAAGATAAAAATCGAGATAAGGTAGTCAAAATTCGACATAAAATGCTCTATTACGTTTTGTTTCTGTCTTAAAAATATTTAGATCTATCTGATTATTGATGGTTGAGCGTTTGTCACTATTATTAGTATCGAAAGAACAGCTGAGACCAGTAATAGATTGGTTAAAGACGCATAGAACTAATACAAATATAAATATCACTGTTTACAGATGTGTTTCTCCTTCTTATCGCTCTTCTGTTCATTGTAATTATTTACGGCTTCGACAAGAAAGAATGTTGGAAACTAAAACAAAATTTTCAATTTGCTGCCTCCCTGCCGGGACAATCAATATTATTATCTATCTTCGACTCTATACTAATCGCTTGTAACTACAAAAGTGAGTAGAACATGTATTTCTTTTCTGTCCGAGATAAATCGGCAAAATAATAGATCTGCTTAGTTTAAAAATGTGTATGACAATTTATACAACTTTGCAGATTTACTTGACTGTGTGCTAGCGAATACCATGAAATACGACACTCCGAGTCGTTTTATGCTTGGAATGGATATATACATATTGCTTTCAAAACCCGAAGATTATAAGGTATATTTCTTAGTTATAAGAAAAATTTCATGTTTTATTGTGACATTGCAATATAATTGAATTTAATATGCAGATTGTGCTGACGAACGTAAATGGCGTCGACAAAAGTTCAGTAACCAAGATGTGGGAGGTGTTTCTTGGTGATGGGATTATTAGAACTTCAGGTGCCGTATATTTATATTTAAAAAACAACGGAATATTATATATGTTTGATGATTCTTATTCAAGCTAGACGCACACATGCGAGTTTTTATCGCGCAAGCATTTAGTCGCACAAAAATACAATTCTTATTTGATAATAAATGCGCGACTTAAAAAACAATTGTAGCGATAAAAAAACGAAACGAGTGATTTTATTTTTCAAGCAAAGTGATTGTCGCAAAATGAAATACATCACATTAGTGTATAAATAAACGTTCGCGCACTTGCCGTTGGCCTCAGATTTTTTTTGACGTAGCATCGACAAGTTAATTCAATCAACGCTCAATTACGCGATTCGCAGTCTACAGATTTTTTTTATAAAATTGAATATTTTGTATAATTGCAACAATGTTATTGCAAAATTTTCGTAGGATGTTCTCTTGTTAATCAATATATTGTTTATAGAAAATTGTCTATTGAAATTGTCCTCTTCAGCTAAAAGAGTAAAGTGGATCCGATATATTTTTCTCTTCACTGTGCTTTTTGAGAGCAATAGCAACTCTCACGTGTCTCTCTGTAACGTTCAATTTTAAAAAATTGTCAAAATTGCGACATTCGATCGCGACAAAAAATAGCATGTGTATCTATTCTTTCGCGTTTAATATGTAAAAATGTTTAATACAGGTGCGAGTCACAAAATTCGACGAAAACTGATACAACCTACGTTAAATACGAAGTATTTAAATGAATACGTAACTTTATTCGATAATTATAGTAACTGCTGTGCAAGCTATATAAAAAAAGAAATCAACGGTCATACATTTGATGTTAAACCATATATAGCGCGATACGCAGTTGATATATATTTAGGTGAGAATTGTAAGAGTTATATCTATACTAAAAAAAAGTACGTTGAAAAAATTTATCAAGTGTTACTTTATAGCAACAATTATGGGTATTCACGGAACAGCATACAAGGGTGAATATGACGAGTTGTGGTGCTGGCAAGAAAAGTACGTAAGAAACTTTTACGCAACAATGGCGATTCGCTATTTACGTTCATATTTTCCGTTGTTTGTTTCAGACTGATGAAACAGATTTTTAGTAGAATGTTAAAGCCGTGGTTGTATCCGGAATCCATTTTCTCTCTGAGTGAAAACGCAAAACAAACGCGTATTGCTAAAAAGATCATACAGGATTTTCTTGACAGTGTAAATCTCAAAAATTTTATATACACACGTGACTACTTTATTATATATTTACAATAAATATATAAAATTATTGTTATGGATTATGCGTTTAAACAATGTACAAGAGCTTGTGAACAATTTTAGATAAATTTTATTAGAGCTGAATTATCAAGTGTGTTCGTGTAAAAAAACGGTCTTTCTCTTTACACACTTCACACAGACAGTCTTTTTCATAGTGTTCGGGAAAATTACCATATTTTGTAATTTGATCTATTACTGATAAAGATTCAATCTCGAGATTGAAACGTGCGAACATTATTAACCTTGGATACACATCCCGGTATCTACAGTATAATTTGATCTTCCACCGACAAAGATTCAATCTCAGGATCAAAACATTTGAAAATTATTATCATAATAAAGAGAAAGAAATTTTAACACGAACATCTGATCCTTTACGTCGTGTCGGCTCTAATCATCTGTTTAATCCATGTGTAGACAATGTCAACGAACTTCGCAAATAACACTTTGATATACGACACCGAGTATGAATTCTTCGAAGACAAACAATCTCAAGCATCAAACTCCGTTTTTTGCAACTATTTGAAACGTTTGAAGCAACATGATTGCGACATTAAGGAAAAAAATTCTAGAGTGAGCGATGAGAACTTTGCGGACGATATTTGTAATTTATACGCTGCTGTAATATCTCTTTTATCATATATGTAGCAGATATATTTTTATTTGCATACAGTTATAGATCGTTATGTTTCACAGATTCAAAATACCATTACGGAATTGACGTCTTCTGTGTTACTTATGTTGAGTATGCACTCGGAAGTTCAAGTAAGTAAAATATACGATACAATCGATTGCGATACATACATACAGAATAGATACATTGTAACAGAACAGAGTCGCTTCTAGAGTTTGCGCGTGTATAATGTCATCCTTATTTCTCATTTATATATGCTACGAAACAAAAAGAAAATGATACTAGATGTAAATTTTTCTATACTGTATCGATCTGTACAAGGTGTGTGAAAAATTTTTTCACAACTGAAGTAAAGATATAGATTAAGTCAATCTGAACAGAAAGTTCATTTATCATTTAGCAAAATTCAATATGTATTGAGTTATCAATTAATTAATTGATTACTGTGAGCCAATAAACGATGGTCCGGATTCTGTAAGCGTGTATAAAATTTTCAATTGTAAGGAAAACTGGTTTATATCTTATGCGATGTTCTAGCAACGAGAGGCGGAGCAAACAAAGAGCAAACAAACCAGCGGTGTGTGTCACAGCTTCTTGTTTGTCACAACTGAAAATCACACATGGCTACAGAATCCGAACTATCGCTTCCAGCGCGCTTATTGGCTCTCATTAATTAATTAATAAATCAATAAATATTTTGCAAAATGACTTTTCTGATCGGATAAATCCAATCTATTTTTGCACTTAGGCTGGTGGCAAAGTTTTTCAGACACTCTATACAAAATATGTCTTTATTTTTTATTTTACGATATCCACTCAATAATAATAACTCACGAATATCTTAGCTATTTTTATATAATTGTTTTACAATAATTTTTTCAGGAAAAATTGCGACAGGAAATTTTGCTAACATTTGGCACCGACAATGTCGACGCTAAACGTCTCACAAACATGCGATATCTTCATATGATAATCCAAGAGACATTAAGATTGTTTCCCACATCACCTGTAATTTCGCGACAACTCACAGGAGACGTAGAACTAGGTACTTGTATAATACAAAAGTGATTGTGAAGGATGCCAGTTTGATTTTGTAACGTAACTGTTCTCTTTCAAATTCTCCTTTAAATCGTTAAAAAAAAACAAATGTTTTTAGAATCTTGCACTCTTCCGAACGGAAGCTACATCATGATACCAGTTTTTGCTATTCATCGTAATCCCGAGTATTGGCACGATCCCGAGAAGTTTCTTCCCGAACGATTTTCTCCGGAAAATTCGTCAAGCCGTCACCAGTACGTTTACGTACCATTTGGCATAGGACCCAGAAGTTGCTTAGGTAAAAATATATTTTAATGAAAAAATGAAATTAGCCATTTATTTAAAAAATGTCGTAAATTTAATTTTATTGAGTGTAATATTATTTTGTAATTGCATCTCTTATGCATTACTTTTGCTACACTTTTATCTCATCAGCATTTATCTCAATATCTTTTTCCTTTATAAAATATATCTACGTTTTTATTATAACTTTTAATTTGTAATTCTTTTATTTACGATTTATATTTATTTTTAGGTCAAAGGTATACGTTTCTATCTGTGGCAACAATAATTGTCAATTTAGTGCGGCAATTTCGTTTTGTGTCCACTGAAACTTTAACAGACATAAAATTAAGTACTGATATTATATTGCGCTGTCAAGACGGTGTTAAAGTATCTGTGTTTCACATATGAGTTTACTTTTTTATATATATATGACAATATCAAAATTATATTATATATTTATTTAAATACACATAAGCTGTTTCAAGCGTACTATATTTTAAATAAATAATATATAACACATTTTAAAAAATAATAATAAGATGTACTTTATTATATAAAATAAATTATATGAAAATAAAAAGAACTCTTGTTCAAGTATAAAATTGTTACACACATCCTGAAAACTCTCTTTTGCTGCAAAGTTTCTTTAAAAAGCAATTTTTAAGATTAACAAAGAGTTTAAAAAAATAATAAAATACAGAATATCCAGAGAATAAAGAATTTATTTGAAAAAAGCTAGCAAAATCAAAACAAACTTATTGATAGCATATGTTCAATAAAAAAAAAAGATTGAGCGTTCAAAATAATTTATCAATCCTTGAAAAAATCATAAACAAACAATAGATTCGTATAGAGTTTGAGAAATAACAAGTCACACGTACTATATATAACACTCGATAAGAGAAACATTCGTAAAAATTAGATCAGTTCTCGTATGTCTTCTTTAAGTTTAGAAGAGAACTCTTAAAATTAAAAGGCGAGATACTTAAGGGCTGTGGATACGTGACCGTTTCAAACGAAATATCAGTAAACATTTAAAAGTTTTGAAATAAGGCGTTTGATGAGATCGCCGATTGGATCTCTCGCGTAAAAAAATTAACGAATGAGAGATCATAAATTCGGCAGAAAAGCGGAGTGAAGCTTCCGAAAAATTGATATCAAATAGAGAGAGAGAAACACTTTAGTGCCCCGTTATATAATTTAATATATTTATAAACTTACATATAAAATATATACATAATCAGAATACTTCTTTTAATTATTGTTTACAGACGTGCTTCTTGTTGCAATTTTTCTTTTGTTGCTTGTAATTTTATTGCTGGATTAATTTTTCCGTGACATAAAACAATTAGTTCTAAATTACAACAAAATCTCAAATTTTTTAATTCCTTGCCTGGCCGTCGTTGTTAGTATCTGCTTATGACATGTTACAAGTTGCTCGTTATCGTAAAAGTGAGGAAAAAACGCATGTATTTTCTATCAAATATATAATGTATTTGCTTATTAAAATGGATTATGTAGAAGAGAATAATATGGTTCCTGCAAATAATATGACTTCCCTCAATATTTCCGTTATTATAATAAATGATGAATTTTACTCACTCTCTTTCGTTTTTTACGATTCTGTGTGTGTGAGAGAGCAAATTAATATTTTATAAAACTGTATACTTGCGTGCAGATTATTTAGATCATTTAGTAGAGCATATTGCAAAAATCGATATATTTGTGGAGCTCGCAAAGCTCGAAGATTATAAGGTTAGTTAGTTTCATAAGAGGAAAAAGATACGATCTCGCCTCTGTTTCTTGCACTTTTTAAAGTTTAACGAAACTCTAATTTTAATATCTGAAGATACGATCTTGCGAAAAGACAGATACGACGTTATTTTTATTAGATCCTGAAAAAGAAGTATATCGGAGTAATTTCGTTAGATTAAAGCTTTTGGCCGCGCGTAACTTTTTTAACAAATTTTACGAATTAAAAGTATTCAAATTATGTTCATTACAAATGCGCGTGTGTGTAGTAAAAAAAAGTCGTATTATTGAACTTCTTATCGCAGAAATAAAAAAAGTCTACTGTTGTCTTCTTGAAATTTAACACTTCTTAAACAAAATGGACAAGTTGCGCCATTACAGATCGGTGACTTGTTCAAAGTTTTGTATTTAATATTTAATTATTTAATGAGCTTGAGTAAATTACGACTGTATAATTGTTTCTAGAACGCCTAAAGAAATTAATTTACACCCAACTTTATTAAAACAAACTTAAGTTGTCTCTGCGTTGATATGAAAACGTGAAACTACGAAGAAATGTTTTGTGCGTGACCCGCATTTTGTCTGTTGCAAATATCTAACGCTTAAACGCAAGAAAGCTTAGATGGTCTATTTACAATATTTTCCCTAAAAACAATTACTATTGCGTCAACGTAATCAAACTTAATATACACAGGTTTGTCCTCACGTACACGCATGGCAACTATAAGAATTCGGATGTGGAAAATATATCTTGGGGAAATTCTTAGAATTTTAGACACATTGTATTTTATGTTTAAGAGTGACAAAAATAAATATTTAAAAAATAAATATATTCAGTTTAAAACAGAGATCCCAAACATTTTCATTTTCTGCAATATTTTATTCAACCGGCGCAACTCACAAACCTCGACAAAAACTGATAGTGAACAGCACGAATGCCCAAATATTTAATTGACTGTGCGTCTCTTTTTGATAAATATAGCAAACATTGCGCGGTTTGTTTAAACAAAAAAAAAAAATTGATTGTGATTGACATCACGTTATACGCGGCGCGATTCGCGACCGACATATTTTTAGGTGTGAATCAGCATTCAAACATTTTACAATACACAGATAATCTTCGTATAACGATGTACTCTCGAACAACGCGGTTTCGATACAACGCGGTTTCGATACAACGCGGTTTACAAATTGTAGTAAATCTAATCCCCCCGTTTTTTCAATATGCGCTTATGCGAGCCTTTCAATATAACGCGATTTATATAACGCGGCATTTCTGTGTGCAACGAAATATTCTCGATATTCCGTTGCACGTTATACCGAGAGTTACCTGTAATCTGAAATTTAACACGTTAAACGTCGAACCCATTCTACGTTTACGTTTTTATGTACGACACGCAACACCGTCGACCTTTCTTTCGACGTTTTATATCACAGGCGACCGACGCGATTTGAACGGAAAGTTCATTGTCAGTCGTGGGTCACGTGTTAAAGAGAAATAGTAATATATTATTTGTAAGTATCTAGAAACTGAAGTTTTCTTATTCGTTATACTTTGTAGAAATAATAATAGGCATTGAGAAAACAGCACACAAAGGCGATTACGACGAAATCTGGTACAAGCAAGAAGAACACAGGCAACGAAAATTTACAAAACCCTCCCGATTTCTGTTTACGTTAATATTCTATCCTCTTTTCAGATTTAGGAAACAGATTTACGATAGAACGTTAAAACCATGGTTGTATCCGGAATTCTTTTTCTCTCTGATTAAAGACGCAAAACACAAGTGCTTGAAGATGGTACACGGTTTTATCAATAGTGTAAGTCCCAAAAATTGATATTTTTTTATAATCATTTTATAAATACAAAATTATCTTTGCACGTTTATCGTGTGTGTAGACGATGTCAAAAAACTTCACAAATAACAACAAGCACAACGATTCGACGTGCAAATCTCTTTTAAATAACGTTTATCACATAATTACTTGACGTACTTGCTTTAATGCAAACAAATCAAGCAAAGTGAGCGATCAAGACCTTATGGATGATGATATCTGCTATTTATTCGCTATCGTAATGTCATTTTTGATAGTGAACAATATGTACATGCGTATCGATCTTAAACTATTCGCTAGTTGTGAACTTTCACGAGCTCAAAAGTTGTTGTACCATATGCACGATCGCATTTAAGTTACAACAGATTTATGTTTTACAGTTTCAGAATATCGTCACGGAATCGGCGTGCTTTGTTTTGTTCAGTATGCATCAAGTTAAATTAAATTTGCAATGTATATAACACTACACGCGCAATGCATCGAAACATATTTACAGACATTTTTAATTGTCACTAACAACATAGACTCACGTACATATAAAAAATATAAAATAAATATAAATTAAATATAATTAGTTTTTGTTTTTATTTACGTTTTTATTTATTTTTATTAAACTACACACTGTTCTATTTTTTAACCACAAGTTTCGCATTTGTTTGCTTTCCTTTTACGCACTTCTCTGGGAAAAATTGCGCGGCAGAAAATTTTTTTCACATTTAACAACGACGAGATTGACGTCAAAACTTTTCTCGAACATGACGTATGTCAATATAGTGTACAAAGAAACACCGTTTCCCATAGAGTAATCCAATGTCGCGGCAACTTACGGAAAACATTCAGCTTGGTAACTAATTGCAAACTAACAGTCTGGTCGGAGACGAACTTTACGCTATATGTGATTTGTGATCACTCGTGGAAGATTCGCCAGAGTGTGAACGTGTTATGTAACCCTTTACAGTATGTCGCGTTCGCGCACGTATAATTCCGACACCGTGTTCCGGCAAACGCACGGTCAGCAATTAATATACTACTCTCGAATCGCGACTATACAGTCGATATCATCAGTTTATTAACACTCACACTAAAGAACTTTTGCTAATTTCAGAGTTTTGCCTTTTACCAAACTATTGCTATGTTCTGACACCGGTGTTCGTTATTCACCGTGATCCCGAATATTGGCAAAATCCAGAAGAATTTATTCCCAAACGGTTAAATTCGGAAAATTCGTTAAGCCACCGCCGTTATACTTACATGCCGTTTGATATAGAAATTGATCCCAGAAATTTGATCCTAGAAATTGCTTAGGTAGAGAGTACTTGTCGTTTTCAAATATATGCAGATACACAGCCGCGCGTTTTACATTTATTATAAATTCATTCGCACGGGATTTACATACACAGTTTGTCCGGAAAGTTCCCGGACTACGTGAATTAAAAATCGAAAATGAAAGATATGGTTTATTAAACAAGTTTACACTTCAA